TAAGAATACGCATTGCATATTATTCAAACATCTCGCTTATTTACTTTACCGTAACTGATTTCACTTACCCTAATATACTGCACAGATACGAGGCAAACAGCTACTTTATTCAGGAAATATTATCATATACAAGCATTGTTTTACATAATATTTATTATTATTTCGAGGTTTCGTTTTTTATTTTATTTGCTATTCTCACGACGTTCCTCGCAATTCCTCAACGTCACTGTTAGCACTGGTTAATTTATTACATAATTATTAATATATAATAATCGGCGCATTCCCTTTATTCGCTCCCTGCAATGTAGAAATTTGTTGAATCACTCGCATGTTATACTTCACAATCCTTCATCATTCTGGTCGATTGGAAAGAAAAAAAAAAAAATGTTTAATAATATTAAACAAGTGTATGCTATTATCGTAACGAACGTATGCCTTAACGAACGATTGATACACAATGATCAGCGTTGTACGGTATAACGTAAAAATTCTATGGAAGGAAACGAAACTTAGTGTAGTCGCCACTTTCCTTTGTACTTCTTTAAACCCGGGCTTAGTCTCAAGTACAGATAAGAAATACTAGCGTTAAGATGAAATATACATGCTGTGACATTTTATATTTGTGATAGTTTGTACATGTACCCTCAGTATTATTACAGACACAAAACCCAACATTAAATTGACACGAGTATTAAAATGTACTCAACTGCGTAGCATCTTAACAATCATTTATGTATATAAATCGCTATCACTATTGGAGCATGCATTTGTGCATACATTTTTCTCTTTATGTATATTGTAGTTACAAATACTCTATTTTCATTGAGAATCGAGAAGTTAATTTATAAATACAAAAGATATTAGAAGAAAAAAGATTGTTTATTCTTGATTAAAAATGCGCAAAGAAAAACCTTAGAACTGTAATAGATTTATGTCTGTGTGTGTGTGTGTGTGTGTGTGTGTGTGTGTGTGTGTGTGTGTATATATCTTTCTTTGCGGGTGACACCCCTTGTAAGAATTAAAAACAAAAGGGTATTTCCTGATTGTGAATGTTCGAAAAATCACCACTAGATTTTTAGGAAACTATGAGGGAATCTTAGATCGATTTTAAAATTTTGTGTCAACAATGTTTCTTTCTCCAATTTCCTCGGGGAAATCTGAGACTATTGATATCGTTAATTTTACTTGTCCAGCTGCATTTTCAATTTTTCTTCTCGAGGCTTTGCACCTCCGTAAATAGAACTTGTTTTACTTGATTCCGCAATTGAATTCACAGGCTCTTTAACAGTTCTCGGCTGGAGCTCCAAACGTTTTCTTCCAGTAGTGTCTAAAGTAGAAAAAAGTGCTATTAAGTATATATAATACGTTACTTAATGTATGTATACACATATTCTCGAGATTCTAGATCATTTAGAGATAGAATAGTTGTTTTATTAAACAAAAGAGTCAGATTTTCGGTCATTCTACAAATATCAGAAGAAATTTTTTTTTAAGTGGAAAAATGTTCTTCTGTGACAAGAAATAAATTTAAAAAACATAGATCCAAAGTTACTTTGCGTGGTTCTTTATTCTGAATAAAGCTTACATCTTTAATATAATAGAAATATAATAGAATATAGTTTTAGTTTTTGGATTTCATTATTACAAATTCGTATAAAAAATATGTAAATATGTAATTATAGAAATATTCTTATAAAATGATATGTGGTTCCATGTAAAAGCAGACTTCTTATCGATAAATTTCATTCCGAATTTTATTCCATGTATGCTTTAAAAGACTGATTATGGAGTTAAAAGTTAGTTTTATTTAAGTGAAAGTCGAGTATCAAGTATAGTATGAAACCCATTTTGAGAACAATAAACTACAATACATTAAATAAAAAACAAATTAATAACATATACAATTCTCTTCTAGAATTTCTTTCATTAGTGAGGTATTATAATTTAATAAAAATCCTAGAAAAGAAAACAAAATATGTATATTTTATACATTC